ATCACACCAGACCGCATCTCACGATTTCTAAATAATTATCGATTAACGGTCACTAATCACCACACATAAAAATTACAGATCATTTGGAGATAGTGAGATTGTCTTCTTGTGTGATTTAGGTATAGAAAAACATTTATATACTTGCCAATTAATTAAGGTTTTTAGTTGAGATGAAAAAAAGTTAAATGGCACGAGAGGGATTCGAACCCACGACCTTCGGCTAGATACGCCGCTGCTCTACCACCTGAGCTATCGTGACTTCGATCCACTCGGACATCAACTCCCCATCTCAACCCCACCTTATGAGTCCTGGGTTCGAATTCTTCTCGTGCCATTTAACTTTTTTTCATCTCAACTAAAAACCTTAATTAATTGTCATGTATTAATTGGTCAAGCGGACCACGAAAGTAGTGAATTAATCACTTATATACTGTTTACATTATTGTATAAATTCATTCTCAAATCTTACATGTATTTGTATGATCTAAAAAATGTTTGTAAATCCCAGGCCCTGAAGATGATCGAAATAAAGATCGAAACGTTGGCACCATATAAAAAATGTTCTTCTAATGTTTTTGGTTGTGTACGTCTGTAGAATAGAGAGGATCAACATAAAATATAAATTTTACTGTCAACCTACAGAATAAAATAACAAGAACTAGATTACCATTATAAGATAGTGTAGTTTTATTATGAGATAGATAATTTATTATCATATTAGACTCATTATATCTTTTTTCAATTTAGTCTAAATATGGTACATCTTTTAAATAATGGGCTCAGTGAATATTCTTATGATACGTGTGGTATTTGTTGACCGTTAATTAATAATTATTTAATGATCATGAAATGATGATACACAGGAAACAAAACTTTGAGTGAATACAAATACTTGAGTCTAAAATTTCTATCATTTGTATTTGTATAATTTAAACATTGTTTATAACTCCCCGGCCCTGAAGATGATCTAAATAAAGATCGAAACGTTGGCACCATAAAGAAAACGTTTTTGTAAACCTACATCACACAAGACCACATCTCACGATCTCAAAATAATCATTAATTAACGGTCACTAAATACTACTTATAAAAATTGAATATTTATCTAGTTAGATTTAATAAAATAAATCAGAAACACTCTAAAAATGCAAAGAAAAGTTAAAATTCCAACAGATTTTTGAAAAAAAACAGGCATTGGAATGGCGAAAATCAAAGAAACATATATTTTTTGTTTATGTTTACAGGGTTTTTGAAGTGGAAACAAATATTCTCAACTTTGTTTGTTACCAAAAAAAAAATTTTCACTTACTTTGTTACAGTGATAACACTGAAAAATAAAAAGTCTGTCTGCAAATACAAAGGAAAGTCCAACAAAAAGACTGTGATAACATTGACAACAAATAAAAAAGACTTGTTAACATCAGGTAGATTGGTCATGAAGCAGCCATCCGAATAGAGAAAACCTTTGATAAAAAAAATATATAAAAAATTAAACAAAACAAAAACAAAACAAACAGGCGTCAGGAAAGGCTGCCCCACAATAGATCATGTTTATTAAGTTATAGAAATATACACAGAGTATAACATGAAATGGTTTTTGTAGATTAAAAAAAGACGCATTTTTTACTGACTAATCCCTTTTGGCCCGGACGTGGCATCACCTCGGGCGTTCTTCCTAATCGGCCCTCTGAGCTGAGAAAAAATACATTCAAAGACAAAAAACCGGACGATTTATTTCAAACAATATATGTATATATTTATCGTTATATTAATTAAAACTTAGTTAAAACAAAATAAAGAGAGAACATTCGTGACTTTTAATAAAAATATTTAATTATGATGGTTTGAAAGAAATTTCAAAACAACTTCGGAAAATCATTTATTGATAGATTAGTTAAATTTTAATTTATCACTAAAGGATTTCCAATCTTTTGGTTAATTTTTCTTTTAAACCATCATAAATAAATGTTTTTTATGAAAACTCATGAATATCTAATCTCGTTTATTTTGTTTACATTAAAATTAATACGCTTTTAATTAATATAATGATAATAATACATTTAGTTTGAAATAAACAACAAACGTCCGGTCCGGTTTTTTAAATCTTCGAATGTATTTTAAGAAATTAAATGTTTGTTAACATCAAAATTGTAAATTCAAAAATATAAATTTATTCTTAGAAATGCACTTGAATAGAGAAATTACAAATTTACCTACTAAAAAGACTCCAGGATCCTTATTAAGGGATAGTTAAAATAACATACTTATTTAATGCTGCAATCTGACTGAATATGCTCCCAGCGCCTGAAAATTTTCAGAAGTCATTATGATTATATTAAGAAAATAAAATAAAATAAATACAAATAAAAAACGGGAAAACCGGCGAACGTGGTCAAATTAGACCGATATCGCTGCTACCTATTAAATTAAATTAAAATTATAAATTAAAAAATTAAATTAAATTATGCTATTAAAATTTCCTTCAGTATAAAACAATAATTTCGAATAATTTTTAATGCGATTTATAACAAAAATGCTATGGAAAGTAAATTCATTTTTGAGCAGTTTATGTTCCCAGCATCTGGAAATTTGCAGAAGTCATTATGATACAAAAACCGTAAATATCTCCAGTTCAGATTTTTTTCAGAGGCCAAGTTCATGTAATTAACTGTAGTTTATAGGGTTATAATACTTTTTAAAGGTTTCCTGTGGATCGGTGTACTCGTTTCAAAGTTATCACTATTTCAATTAATTATTCTTTTTATGTAAGGTCTTAGTTGAGATTAAAAAGTAAATTTAGCGAGCGGGATTCGAACCCACGACCTTCGGCTCAATACTGCGCTGCTCTAACCATCGTGACTCTTTTGCAATTTTTCCGCTTTTTGGTGTCTGGGTAGATCGAAGTTATAAAAGTTCGTTAGCTCCTAAAGTGCAAGATTTCTTATTAACAAGGCGCTTGAATAGATTAAAACCCGCATGACGCATCGGTCGTGATGGTTTAACATAGCGAAGCGCCGTTCATAACTCCACGTTTTCAACCGTAGATTTTTCACACGGCTCTTTTTCTATATTATTCAAAAATAATAATTATATTTTTTTGTTTTATTAAGTCGTACTAATCATATTATTAAATATTTAAATTGGAAAAAATAAATATAACACTTTTACGAGGGGATTAAACTGAACTGGGATCACTCTTTTCAATGGATAGATTGGGTTTGCAATCAAACTCTATCAAACTCGAAATTTAAATCACTAAGTTCGTGGTTTCTTATTAACGGATACAAACTATGTACTACTACCTTTCGAATTTTCCCTCCTTTTTGCCATTTTTCAAAATTCAAAAGGAGGTTGAGATCGGAAGTTGGTGACCGAATGGATCGAAGACACGATAGCTCAAGTTGTTAGAGCAGCGGCGAATTGAGCTGAAGGTCGTGGGTTCGAATCCCGCTCGTTAAACTTACATTTTCATCTCAACCAGGACCTTACATAAAAAGAATTATGTTTATCTGTTTTGTTAAACAGATAATTGAAATTATTCCACACTTATCAATCCATTTGACAGTGTTATTTATAATTTGTAAGTGCAAAACTTATTAGTTTAAATTTTTTTTGGATCTCTTAAAAATATATATGTATTTTTTGACTCTTGAAAAGACCACTTTTTTTTTATTTTTTAGTCAAGTTGAAAGACGATGTATACCAAACAGACTTGGTTTTAAATATTCAACGTATATTTTATTTAGTTTTGAAATTTACCACAATATTGAAAATAATTTTTATAAATATAAACTTTAATTTTTACATTCTCCACTAAATTGGAAAAATATCATTCAAGTGTAGATTTTATTTTATTTTTCATTATTTTGTCATTTTCTCTTATTATTATTCGTTATTCAAAAACATAAGGTATAGTAATGTTTGAATTTGTTAAATTCACTAATTTCGTGGTCCGCTTGACCAATTAATTTATTACAATTAATTAAGGTTTTTAGTTGAGATAAAAATGGCAAAAAGGAGAGAAAACTCAAAAGGTGGGGTTGAGATGGGAAGTTGGTGTCCGAGTGGATCGAGGTCATGAAGCTCAAGTGGTAGAGCAGCGGCTTATCAAGCCGAAGATCGTGGGTTCGAATCCCGCTCGTGCCACTGACTTTTTTATCTCAACTAAAAACCTTAATTAATTGTTCGAATTTATGTTTATACAGAAAAGACTCGTTCCATGTGTCGCCTTGGGTCATATTGTGGAAATGATGTTTCAAAAACATAGAAAAAGCAAATTTGAAGAATTGTTAAAAACAAAAATAAGTGATAGGCTAAAATTCTTTTTGATATTCCTAAATTGTGATTCCATGATGATCCCGGTTTTTCTTTTTCATTTTTTTTTAACGTAAAACCTTGCTGTCAGTAATACCACTAAACATAAACGGGTTATCATTACTATTGTGGTATTCGAAAAAGAAAAAAAGCAGGTATTCGAAAGGCAAAAATCGGAGGGAAATATTATTTTTTCTCAATCATTTGAATTACTGTTTTCAACTTTACTACTAAAAAAAAATTTTCACTAACAGGATTCGAACCCACGACCTTCAGCTAAATACGACGCTGCTATAGCGCGTATTCAGCCGAATGTCGTGGGTTCGATTCGAATCTCCCTTGTGGCACTGATTTTTTTATCGCAACCAAAACGTTAATTAATTGAAAAGAATTTATTTGGTCAACCGGACCACGAAACCTAATAAAATTTTTACTAATTTTGCTGTATGTTTTAGCATGTAAATACAACTTATGTATTTTTGATATCTTCACTTTTTTAATACAACTCTTCTTTAACTATAAGTTTTATAACCTCTCATCCAGTTTATTATTATTTGTTTAAAATTATATTAAATAATTGTTGAAAATAATTAAAAATTACATATATAAAACTGTAGGTTGAATGTAATTTTTAGAGTTTTGAGTAAATTTGGTACTTAAAATTCAAACGTTGTTCCTTGTTTTAGGTCTCCTGGTTGAAAAGGCACGGAGATAAGCTCAACTTGCTGTCCGTCGGCCTGGAAATGTACAGCTCGGATACGAGGTTCGCCCCCCAGTTCAAAGCTCCTAACGACTGGCAGCTGCGACTCACCCCGGCCGAGCAGGCGGACCAAGGCCAATACGAATGCCAAGTCTCGTCGCACCCACCCATCACGCAGATTTTCTTCTTGACGGTTGTCGGTAAGTGTACCGAAATTAACCCTTTCGGAGCCAAAGCAAGCGACACACCATGAATATTGATTTATACGCTATTGAATTTGATTGCTGTATTTTTATTTTTTTATTTTAGGTACTTAGTTGACCCTCTAGTTTTTAAATACTTAAACTTTTATTATACAAAAAATTATATAAAATATATTTAATGCGAAACCTATTATTCAGACATTGTGAGATACGATCTGTGATGTAGATTTAGAAAAATATTTTCTTTATCGTGCGACGTTTCAATCTTTATTGAGATCATCTCCAGATTCTGTTATCAACATTTACAGTCTAAATTTTACAAGTACGTGAAGGACGTGAAAAAATGAATGCAATGCTAGAAAACTAGATTAAAAAAAGGAATTTATACAATGCTAGAAAATTTTAGATTAAAACATGAATTTATACAATGGTAGAAAATTTTAGAAAATAAAAGTGAATTTATACAATGGTAGAAAATTTTAGATTAAAAAAATGAATTTATGCAATGCTAGAAAACTTTAGATTTAAAAAAATGAATTTATACAATGCTAAAAAATTTTAGATTAAAAAAATGAATTTTTACATCGCTAGAAAATTTGAGGTTTAAAAAAATGAATTTATACAATACTAGAAAATTTTAGATTAATTAAAACTAATTTATACAATGCTAGAAAATTTTAGATTCAATCAAAGCATTTGTACACAAGGAAAACGTATGTGTATCTACACGGAAAACAAACAAGTTCGAGTGAGTACAAATACTTTGATTGAATCTAAAAATTTCTAGCATTGTATAAATTCATTTTTTTCTAAAATTTTATAGCATTGAATTAATTCATTTTCTTTTTAATCTAAAATTTTCTAGCATTGTATAAATTTTTTTAATCTAAAATTTCTAGCATTGTATAAATTCATTTATTTCACATCCTACATATATTTGTAAAATTTAAACAATGTTTATAAATCCCAGGCCATGAAGATGATCTCAATCAATTATGACTGTTTTATTTTTTTTTACTCTCTTTTTATGGGGGCCATCAGATTTAACCAATTGCTATAAATTCGATAGGTGGCACCGAACTCAGAAAAACGACAGAAAGACTGCATGGCCGCAACACACACGAGACAAACCAGAACCACTCCCAAATTTACCTTTAAATTACTATTCTTAGCAAAGCTCATGATGATGTTGCTACCTCTTAGACGGGGGCTACATCCATTTTGTTGTTGGGTTGGAATTTTACATCAACCATGACTCACATACTTAGGACTTTTTTGTCTTCTAGTAAAAGGATATTTCGACGCTTCAGCGTCATCTGCAAAAACTCCACTTACTTTCCTCTCTTATGTAAATATTCCTTTATTACTAAAAGCCGACAACACTCCCCCCCCCAATCGCATATCGCCCTACAATCCCGTCAGAATGTCAAAACCCGTGCAAAGATTGTTTTGAAAAGTTTAAACGTTTATCTAACTCATCTGCTTTAATTAGCAATTCGATCGGTTGGCCACAGTTGTACTAAAAGTCGGGTAAAGTTTGTAAAAACGCTTCGGAGATTCTGTATCCAGTGATTTTAGGTGGAGAAATAATTTCGGATAGAATCTGACATCGCAAGAACATAATGGATGGTCCGTGTGATTTCTTGCACAGAAAGAAGCTTGGACTATTGTAAAGGAAAACTTCGGCCTGAAAGGGCGCGATTGAGTTGGTGAAGGCTTTGTTGTAAAGTTCTAGTCGGTAAGTCTATACGGACGAAATCCGTCCGGTTTTATCATAACGTATTTGAAAGTGCAAATATCAATCAGTTTGGGCAAAAGAAATTTATTTTCCATATTTTCCTCAATTTTGCGATTTTAGATTCCTCCTACACAATAAATCAAAATAATATTTCCCCATAATTCAGAATCTTCCTACAGAATAATTCAAAATAACATTTCCCTGGAATTCAAATTTTACGAATGTTGATTTGGGTACGTTTAATTAAACTTTTTTGTATTATATTATCCAGAAAACAAATCTTTTAACCGAACCTTATTTACAATTGATAATTTTTTTAAAGGATCGAAAAATATGATTTTTAACTATAAGCAATAATAAGATTTGATGTCTAAACCCTTAAATTAAAATACAAAAAAAATTGGCCGAGTACTTGTTTGTAGTTATAATTGTAAAAATTGTAATATGGAATACTCTCGGGTAGTGGAATGATTTGTGGCATGTGTGTGGGTAATTACCCCAGTATCGAGTGTTCTGGGATGAGGTGAATGAATGTGTAAATGTAATTTATTAGCGTGAATGGTAGGGTTCACCCCATAATTAACCCAATATCAAGTGGTCTAGGGTGATACAAATGAATGTGTGAATGATATTTATTAGCGTGAATGGCAGGATTTATCCCGTAATTACCCCAGTATCGAGTGATCTGGGATGAGGCGAATGAATGTGAGAATGTAATTATTAGCGTGAATGGCAGGGTTTATCCCCAATTATCCCGAGGAATAATCAAGTAATTGTTGTAGTGTGCATTAATGTGTGAATGTAATTTATTAGCGAGAATGGCATTGTTTATCTCCAATTACCCCAAGAAATATCGAGTACTCTTGGAATTGTGAATTCTAAACAGACACGAGTGTTTATCTTGTCTCTGTGCTATTATTTGCTTTATTTTATCCACTATTGACAATTCCCTGAGGTACAGCTATCAATAGAATAAAGGAAAGAGAGAGTTGGTTTGCCGATATACCATAATCATAATTGGATGGAGAAACAGTAAAAGAAATTGGCATAGTTAAAACGCGAAAAAGAAAAAAAAAGTAAATCTGAGGAAGAGAGGGCTGGCAATGACTGCTGCAGTTGTCAGGCCAATAAATAAAAGAATATATAAAATAATTTAATTAAACTTAAAAAAATGGCGATTCATTTTTGTCAATTTGATATCTTTATTTTTATTTTTTCTTATCCGAGTTAAATTGAGTTTTTTTATTGAGTAATTGAGCAAAAATCTGCTCAAAAAAGAAGAAAAACAAAACGAAAAGTCATCGAGTGGAGAATATCATCACAATCACTCGCATCTCTGAGACAGGTCAAGGAGACACTGACTTTTTTACATCAATGGGGATTGCTGGGAAGATGCCGGGTGGAAAGTCGTGGGATTAGACTGGGATAGAGATTAGTTTGGAATTTTTCTACCTGGATTTTAAAACTTGATTTAAATGGAAAACATTTAGATCGTTATAAACGGTGTGGCTGATGATGTGTTTTTTTCCTGTCAAGAGAGAGTTTAGATCTCTTTTTTATCTTTTAAGTACTTGATAGTCGATTCAGTTCCATTTGAGACTGGTATGGTTCCACTTTGTCTAGATACAACTCTATGTAGTGGATGACATTTTTGGTTGGAAGGGAATGAGGTTATAAATTGGTGATGGAGTGTTGCGACGGAGGGTAGAGGTTATATTTTGGTTCTTTGCGGTGTTTACTTTCGGCGATTAGTTGTACTATTGCTGTTTCTTGTGGTTCCGGTGAGCTATGATGGGATCGGGGATAGAATGGCACTGTTCTCAGCATGTTACGATGATAAGGGCCATCAACAGTAGAGGACCGAAGACGCAACCCTGAAGGACTCCGCATTTACCTTACACTAAGGAGACCCATACATACCTGTGATTTAAGGATAAGATTGTGTGTAGAGGCTCTTGAGTTTCCAGGACCATGCTCGATTGAAAACCTGTTCAACATCGAGAAAGACTCCCGAGGAGAATTCTTTCTTCTAAGGAGGATAATGTTCACAATGCGATAGCACTGTCGACAGTAGACTGGTGACGCTTAAATCCAAATTGATGGTGGAGGATAATATTAGATGTGGGGTGTATTTATTCATAAATGGTTTTTTCAAGTAGCTTCCCAAGAATTAGCAGTAAGCTGATGGACTTGAGGCATTCAGAAAGTGGTGTGGTCTGTTGGGTTTTATTGGGTGGAGAGAGGAAAGTTTTCATGGCGTCTGAAAATGAGTTGTACAGAGAGTTCCATGGTTGACAGAAAAACTGTTGCTTTTTTGGGACTTTTCGAAGGAAGTAAGGGATACTTATTCATAATGACAAACTTAATTTTAAATTTAAAAAATTAATTTTACTTTTTTCTTTTTTTATTGAAAATGAACATTTAAAAAGTCAGAATTTTTTGTTTAAAAAACTTATTGTGGTTAAAATTGTCAAAACCGTTAGAGCGAAAAGAAAAGTTCGTAAACCTATCGTTCAAACCCCTCGACGACGGAAATAAATCTCTCAACTTTCCCAGATTGATTAAACGAAGTCGTTAAATCAAGGTCCGACTTAAAAGAGATAATTAACGACGGTTCTTACAATCGGCAATATTTACAATAATCCAGACCCTTCTGAACCACGACCTTTGCCTCCTCGATTACACAGAGTTTTGTGTCACCCTTGCCAGAGACTCTCTCGGTCGAAAGTTCGTCGAACTCGTTCAAAGGGTTGGAGGTCCTCACAAATAATAATTTTTCCTTTCATTTCTGCATGAATTGATCACTTTGAAAAATATCGAAAAACTTTTCTAATCGAGAATTTGTTATCGAATGACAAGTGGAGATTTAGTTTTTATTCAGTTGCATAAGACTGCTTATGCAATAAAACAAACCAACAATGATTATTATGTAAGAAAGCATATTCAATTTTGTGATAAAAGGCTATTTAAAATTAATTATATATTCACTAATTTCGTGGTCCGCTTGACCAATTAACACATTACAATTAATTAAGGTTTGTTAGTTGAGATAAAAAAATGGAAAAAAGGAGGGAAAATTCAAATGGTGGGGTTGAGATTGGAAGTTGTTGTCCTCGTGGATAGGTCACGATAGCTCAAGTGGTAGAGCAGCGGCGTATCTAGCCGAATATCGTGGGTTCGAATCCCGCTCTTGCCATTGACTTTTTTATCTCGACTAACAAACCTTAATTAATTAATAATATATGTTTAACGCATTAAC